ATTAGATCTCTTCATAGTGACATTTTACCTACCAGCTCTTCTAATCTTGCATATGAGACATAATTTCACGATTCACAAACCAGAATGGAGACAGCTCTCAAAGCCTTTTTCTACTACTACTTGAATCTGTAACTAGTAGTAGATTCTGCTCAGGCTGTCAGGACATTCATGTTCAGACATGAAGAGATTCTGGATGTAACAGAAGTTTCCCAGAAGACTATAATCTCCAGTCATGCTGCTGTTCATTGTGAAATCAAAGCCTGAGGTCTGGGCCGTACTTAAGAAACAAAACGCAGGTAACATGAACCTGTCTCTCAAAAATTTGATCCATCCATCAGTTTTAATGAACTGTAAAATTGTGAAATTATGTCCCACATGCAGTAGTTGCATATGCATGTCTGCATCCTCCTGTTGATCATTGTCTTGTTTTAGTTCCCACTTTGATTAACCAAGAAACTGTTTGTTTTTTTAAATATAATGAACAGACAAGCGATTAGTTGAAATGAATGACCTTTAGCATGGACACTTTTTGATTTCAGGGAATAGAAACACACATCAGTCATTGGAAAGAAGTAATGCCACAAAGCTAAATGTCCATTTGTTTAATTCTTCACATCACAGACCTGTGATGTTGACTTTTCCTTTAGCAGCACAGTTATTGGGGAGTAACTCACACGTCTGTCAAGAGAACAGAAAAAACAGGTTTGTGGATGAGGTAACTGAGTAATGCAGTAACCTTTGTCATGTTTCCATATTCCATAAAACAACAAAAAACGTTCATGTCACAGTTACCCTCCGGTCTGTAGGGTATATAAAGGCAGGACTTTCTGAGTGAGAGCGTGAGATTAGCAGCTTTCAGCCGACTAGAAGAATTCATCCAGCCAAAAACGGTGTGCACATACGTAAGTCTACACGCTCTGCATTTGTGTTTAGATTATTTGTGTTAGAGTGGAGAACTACAACAATTTAGAATTTATTACAGTCTGACTTCCGCATGTTCAAATTTCCATTCATTAATCCTTTAACTTTGTTTGATGCAGGAACCCAACATGTCCAACATCATTGATCTCCGAATTTCTGTGAATAAGGCTGAGGAAGAAATGTTCATTGCAGATGGTTTCCGTTCAGTTCCTGGTAATCTGAACAAAGGAAATGGAGGAAATGCAATCTGTCTTTGGTACAAAAGAGGCAAAGGTCGTGGAATCACCAGGATTGAGTTTTCATTTAATAATAAAATGAGTGAGAACCTCAACTCTGCAGGATACAAGAAGATTGAGAAAAACCTTAATACTGGAGCCGGTGGAGAAGAAACCTACCTCTGGTACTACAAACAAGATGAAAGTAGTAGCACATCACACTATGATCGCATCATGGCCCTTCATGTCACTACACAAGCAGATGATGAACCTGAGCTGTATAGATTGGGCTGGGAAAGGGTGGGCTATGACCTGAACCAGAAGTCTGAGGAACCATCGGTTCACCTGTGGGTAAGAAGAAGCAAAGCAACATACATCTATGACATCAAAGTGTGTGTTAACTTTGATGAAGACTTGGAAAACCTCAAGAGTGGTTATATCAGGGTGGCTGAAACCACAAACAGAAGTTCAAGTGAGGAAAAAGCCTTCATCTGGTATCGTGAGACTGACGACCCTAACATTGCCATCACAGGTCTGCTAGTCTCCAGTGATGACTGCATACAATCCTATAAAAAACTGGATCGTGAGCTCAGCACCGACATCGCTGGAAAGAAGACATTCCTGTGGTACACATCAAGTGATGAGTTCAGTCCCATCCGAGGTGTTACTGTGCTCACCAAAGACTCTGCTGTGAAAGCCAATAAGGATGCTGGGAACCATGTTGTTCCAATAGACCCCAACTCCAGTTCTCCCGTGTACCTGTGGTTTTGTCGCTGAGAGCCATCATAGCGACAGAGCTCAGCACACTAAACGAGCAGAAATTAAAGAATTAATTGCTTCTTGTTTAATCAATTTGGTGATGGGTTCCCTTTCCTTTCTGAAATTCTATTAAATAACCTTGATCTCAGATGGTTAATTCCACCAATAACCATTCGTCCTGCAACCAACAAAATAATGAATGTGTATCAATTTACTTTCATTTTTATCTCTGTTTTAATAAAGTTTCTTTTGCATCTGAATTATCTCTGTGTCATGTGTCAAAGCTGGACAATACAGTCAAAGACAGACTTCATTCATCATATGCAAGAATCCTAGTTGGATTTTTGTTTTCACTCATATTTTAGAACCAAATATTGAAAACAACTCTGACAGACTGGATACCTGGTCAGGGTGTACATTACCTTTCACTCAAGCATCCCAGGACAGAGCCCTGCCCCACCATGAGCCTGGGTGGATACGTGGTTATAATATAAAATGACTGATACTGAATATGAATATTTCATGAAAATCAAATTATAATATGAATTTCTAGGTGTTTGTTATATCCAGCAAGAGTAATATTGATTACATATGTCTGAAACCCTAACCCTAACAGACCACAATGCCCTGGACTGTCAGCATTATTACATGCTGTGAATATAAGTAGCTTTGATCACAGTTTATGGTGTAAAAGAGAAGGAATATTGAAAAAAAGATGAACATTGTGATATTATTTCTTCCAAACTGACCAGAAACATGCTTGTCAGACTCTCACAGCAAAGGATCAGACTCACTGTGCATGACAGCTCAGGCCAATGATGTCTGTTAGATTGTCAGTTGTTTAGTGCTTCTGTACAGTGAGGGTCACCATCTCTATTCCAGTATAATTAATATGCAGAAAACACTATAAGTTGATTGTAACCGCTGTCTGTTTTTCACTAAATTTCTGATTTTAACAGAGCCTCTGCGTGTCCTCCCTTTGTGTCCTCTTCCTCTGTGAATGTGTTGCATGTGTCACAGATTCATTTTATTAACAGCTTTCCCACAGTGAGTTGCATCAGCATTCATTCACAGCACATTGCAGAAGGATTCAGATTGATACAGTGATCTTACAGTCAGAATGATCCTGACAGAGTGCCACTGTGAATGATCTTTCATCAGGTAAATTTTAAAGTTCAGTATTTCAAAGCAGGACTTATGAAGAATCATGTTGGAATTAGGACTGTAACAATATGTACTTACAAAGTCAAAGTTTTTTAATTATTCTAGAATATTGGAAGACAAACAGGAAGACAAGCAGTCCATCAAACTGTCTACAGGGTCAAACATACAGAGAATTCAAACAGCAGTAAAAAATAACTGGACACTGAAAAACTTAAAGCAATGTGTGACGCAATAAAAGGAAGCAGCGCAGTATATTCACTGACGATTTCTAAGGATTATTTTCTTAATTGCAGTTAGAGTGTGGCTGGTGAAGATGGAAACATACAGAATGTAAACTGTGTGATTTTGGTGAACTTTGTTAGTAACAAATGAGGTAACCTCCCCCCCAAAAACAAACAAACAAACAAACAAACAAACAAACAAACAAACAAACAAACAAACAAACAAACAAACAAACAAACAAACAAACAAACAAAACACAGAAACAGGCTCTCAGTATTCATTAATAATTAGAAAGCATATAAACATTCTGGTCATGGATTTTTACAGTCTTAGTTCCGCTCGCTGTCATCATGATCATGATCAATGGCGAGGTCCTGAGGTGGGCGGGGCTGTCTCTGGTGATGTCACCACGAAGGAACAGCATCTGGCACGTGTTGGTGAAACATCCCAGTACACTGGTGTAGTTTCCTCTCCAGCTGTTTGACATTTGACACTTCAACATTAAGGGGAAGAAGAAGAAACAGTGTTAGGTCAGGTGACCACGTGGTTTATAAAATAACTAAGCGGAAGTAACCAGGCTGTTAGAAATGGATGGCTTGTGTTTAGAGTTACTGTAGTTGGGTAACTCTACTTACCAAAAGCAGAAGCTGCTGAATGTTGCAGGAACATGCTCATGTGTGGTGATCATTCAGTGCTGCTCCGGCAGGTTAGACAGTCCAAGACTGATATACTGCCCATCTGAGAGTTTGAAAACACACATTCAAAGATTTAATTGTATTACAGTCAAAGTGGGATGTTCATTTTTGTCCTTTAAAAATGTTTGTGTATTTGGTGTATTCAGGTTCACAGTGGGAGGGTAGGGGTATCGTGGAATTTTGTAAATAAAGTCTGCAACACAGAAAGAGCTGTGATCAAGCTATTTATTACTGCGCGCAGGAGAGCCAACACACATCAAACATCACAGTTCAGTCATGTCAGCGCTGCCACAGAAGTTGTGCTCCTACTCCTCTATGCATTCCAAGGAAGAGGGAGGGAGTTACAAACTGATCCTACCACACTTCACACGCCTCGCCATGAAACCTAACGGATCAAGGTTCAAGGTTCAAGGTTCTTTATTTGTCACATGCATAGTTATACAAGTATAACACACAGTGAAATGTAGCCTGACACGCTCCTCGACATGTGCAAAAATTGGGGGGGTAGAGGAAGAACATTGTATATATATATATATATGGTATATACATTGGGTGAATGTGCAGTAGTAGCAGCAAGCAGGTGAATTCTGTACATTAATATGAATAGACATCTGACTATTTTACAGGATAGACAATATAAACATATTTAAAATTAAAGGAATTGAAATGTACATTGTGCCTTGGTTTAGTGTCTGGAAGAGTCCTGTCTCAGTCAGTTATAGATGATGTGAGAGGGCGGGTGTGTGTGTTTAGGGCACGGATGGCTTGGGGATAGAACAGGGGTGGGCAAACTTTTTGATTCGTGGGCCACATTGAGTTGTAACATTTGACAAAGGGGCCGGAACAGGAGCAGATAGATGGCATGCTTTGAAAACATCACCTCATTGGGGGAAAAATACACATCTTGGGATATGGAGAAAACATGTGCTTTAATTTCCAATGAAAATGAAGAAAAGCATTACAACAAAATCTCTGACTTCGAAATGAGTCTTTAAACACTGAAAATCAAATAAATGAACATTTTCTTTTAAAGCACTGAAAGTTCTGTTATCCTTCAGGATATCACATCACTCTCCTGATGCAGATGTACTTGTCCTGTTCCTTTTATTCAATTTGTTTCCCCGGTGCCAAAAGTCAACAACGACCAGTGCAAGAATGAAACAGTTGCAGCAAGTCAGTCTGCGAAGCGCTATATTTGATCTGCGCGCACTGTTTATAGGTCACCAATTGAAGTGACTTGTCAATTTTATCGAAATCCAAAAACCGACGGCAGAATTCTCCGTGCAGTGCATCCAGTGACTCACTGTATTTCTTTACTTTTGCTCCGGCCTCTTTCAGCGTGGCTAGTGTAGGAAAATGAGTGAATGACTTGTTCAAAATCTGCCTGGAGAATAAAGCCAGCTTGGATTTGAAGGCTTTCACGTTTGTGTGCATGTCATGCACAAACTGCTCCTTCCCCTGCAGTTTCACGTTGAGCTCATTCAAGTGTGAAAATACGTCCGTAGCAAACGCAAAGTCACACATCCAGCTCTTGTTGCTCAGCTCAGGAAATTCATCTTCCCCTGCCGCTCCAAAAACATGCCAATCTCCTCTTTGAGCTCCCACACTCGTTGAAACACTTTGCCCAAACTCAACCAGCGGACACGGGAGTGATAAAGCAGGTCCTGGTGATCCGCATCAGTTGCCTCCAGGAATGCAATGAACTGACGGTGCTGAAGTCCCCGTGCGCGTATGAAGTTGACGAGTTTCACCACAGGATTCACAACATGATTCAGCTGTAACACCGATTTACAGAGATTCCTGGTGGATGATGCAGTGGAGGAAAATCACATCCTGGTCAGGGTTTTCATCTTTCACTTTATTCTGGATTCTCCTCAGCAGGCCAACGTTTTTTCCCGTTAAATTTGGAGATCCATCTGTGGTGACGCTAACAAGCTTACTCCAGGGAAGCTTCATGTTTTCGATGGCAGCAGACACCCGTTCAAACAAGTCCTCTCCCCATGTTTGTCCTTTCAGAGACTCCATTGTCAAAAACTCCTCCGTTATTTCAAAAGTTTCATTGATTCCTCGGATAAAAATGAGGAGCTGAGCAGTGTGTTTGACATCGTTGCTTTCATCCAGTGCAAAAGAATAAAAAGTGAATGACTTCGCCTTTTTGTTTAATATGCTGGTGATATCTTCATCTATTAGTTCTACACGGCGAGTCACTGTCCGCCGTGATAAACTGATTTTCTCAAATTTGTCTTTCGTCTCAGGGCACAAAATACCTGCTGTCTCTACCATACATTCTTTTAAAAACTCGCCCTCTGACAGTGGTTTGCTGGCCTTTGCTATTTTGAATGAAAGCATAAAACTGGTTTTGGTACTTGACTCTTGCATGGCGGTTTGATGGTGAAAAAAACTTTGCTGAGCCTTCAAATTAGCTGCCAACTTCTCAGCAGCAGCTTCCCGTTCTTTTTTTTTTTTTTGTGTCCTGTTTGGATCTTTTGGCATCAGAATTGTTGTCTTAAGGCCAAGAAAGATGCCAAGCGGATTTATTTACCAAGTGGATCGTCATGGCCTTGCCATATTGGTCCATTTGATTGACCTTTATTATAATTATGAATTTATTTTATTTTCAGTTGCTACAAACGGGACAGACATGACTGTGGGATAGGACAGGGGGAGAGAATGAAAGAAAGAGGGGGAGAGAAAGAAAACCAAAGGGGAGAAGAGGGAGGAGGAGGGGGGGAGGGGAGAAAGTCGCACCCAGTCGCTAGCTGTGCCATTACCCAGCATACACCTCTCCCTCCATAAATGCAATTAACGATACAAAAGTAATAGCTGTATTTAGTTTATCTGCTGTATCTGCTGTTTCTCAGGTAGTTGTTTACATTATATAATATTTTGTGTTCAGTATACGTCACTACAGTGTGATTTCCAAATGTATAAATACACGGACAACAGGCTCTTCCGTCAATAAACAACGTTTAGGGAGCTCTATAGTATTCAATAAGAGGACCCACCACGTCAATTCTCGACGCGAGGGGGTAGCCTGCGCGTCGATAAGTGAACCAGAGGGAGCCTGACCAGGCGTCACACATTTGACGAGTTGAGAGTGAGAACGTGTTGTGTTGGTATGTGTCGGGCTGTGAGCTGGAAAAC